GTTGCGACCTCACAGCGCAGCTGCTTCCTCCTGGCCCCCCCCCACTTCCTTTCCCCCGCAATTCCTCCTCCTCCCCTTCCCCCTCCTGCATCCCCTGCTCTTCATCCTCCCCTCTACCCCTTCCCTCCCCAGTCTCCCCCGCCTCCCCCATCCTCCCTCATCCTCTCTCCTCCCCCTTCCCTCCCTTTCTCCCCTCCCTTCTCCTCTCCCTTCTCCACCTCGACCTCCTCCTCCTCCTCGTCCTCCTCATCCTCCTCATCCTCCTCCTTCGCGCCCTCTCCGAGGACTGACGGACTGGGCTGTCTGACCGAAGCTGCGACCTCCTAGACTTAAGTCGGGCTTGTCCCCCTACAGGGGGAATTTGGGCGAAAAATGAAAAATAGTAAAACATACTTCAAGGATGCTCAGAAATAGTCGAAAAGTCGTCCCCAGACTATGTTTTGATTATTCTTAAATATTCCTCCTGTAGAGGGACGGGCCCGACGTAACCCTAGATTACCTCGGGATGCCTGAGGATGGCATGATTCTCCGGATCCCCAGAAGGAGGCGCGATGCCGAGATGCTGCGATGCCAGCTCGCCTGCCTCGACCGAAGGCCCGATCTCGCCGCTGCCTGCTCCCGCTGTTCCCCCTCCCGCTCCTGCTCGGATGCTCGTGCCTCTTGCTCGTGCCCCCAAGACGAAGCCAGGACAAGTATAACATCGTGCGAAGATAAATCGAGAATCTCTCTGATCCAGCGGCTTGGGAGGACGTGTCGGGCGCGGCGGACTCCCTACGAGCGTTCCGGAACGGACTTACCCTCGTCCTAGTCGGGGGCGGTCAAGAGGGGAGCGTCAAAGAGGGGGGAGGCGCAAATCATGGCCAGCGGCACGTGCGAGGCCCAGGGAGGGGGCCAGGGAAAGGAGAGGCGCCATGAATTCTGGGGAGTTCTCATGGTCCCAGTCATCACCCCCCTCTTGGCCGCCCCCGTCCCAACATCGGGCCTGGATAGATCGGGGATCTCTGCGATCCCGCGGTCCTCTGCCTCGAAACAAAGAGCAGCATCGGACCTGGATACATCGGGGGTCTCTGCGATCGCTCCGAAACAAAGGGCAACCTCGGACCTGGTTAAGTAGGGGATCTCTGCGCTCCCGTGGTTCCCTGCCCCAAACAAGGGGCAACATTGGACCTGGATGGATCGGGGATCTCTGCGATCCCGCGGTTCTGAAACATGCATCGGGCGCCGCGGCCGTGCTGGAGCGCTCTGGGCTGACTTATCATCGCTAATCGTACCTGGATCGGCGCGGGTGTTGCTAAGGGGGTAGCGGGCCTGTCTGGGTCAAACCTGGCCTAACCTAGCTCATGGGTGGGTCACACGTGTCTAAATGGCCTAGGCGGCTGAAGATCTGGGCTAAGTGGGTGGAACCCACTTGGAGGAGTTATCTAACCCATTTAAGCTGCATGAGGCACTTGCACACCACCAAATCAAGCTAGACCAGGCCAAATGCAACCCACCTGGGAAACCGCACGTCACCCCCTTGATCCCCTCAGCCCCCCCCGCGCGGATTGAAACAGGCCTGCCGGACAAAACCCTCGCCGTCGTGACTTGTCCACGGCGCGAGGATGTCAGGGTCCGGCCGTGCCTCGCCCCCAGGCCGCTCGATTTGACCGCGCTTTTGATATGGTTTAGCAGGTCTACTTGCATGGCATTCCCCCCCCCCCCCTCCGCCGCCCTCTTCACACGACGCTAGGCCGAACAACGGTGTGAAAATGGGCCCGGCCTCGCGTGAACTTCCGACCTCCTTGCGGGCCTCGCCACGCCCCCACTCCCGTCGGGGACGCACTGACCCGGGTCAGTCCAGACCCGGGTAAGTCAGGCCTTGCAGGGTCCTGCACCCAAGCCCGGGGGGTCAGTGCGCCCCTGGCCCTGCAGGATCCTGCAAGATCCGGCGCTCTGGCAGACCCCCGTTTGCACTGACCCCCGTCTCTTGAGAACCGACCCTCCCCCTCACTCTTCCGCACCTGCCGCCCTAACCTTCCGCTATGATCTATGTGGGCTTCCTTGACTTACGTACAATTTTCACCATCTGCGATGAACTCTTCCGCACCTTCCGCGAAGGTCGGAAAGTGTGGAAGGTGGAGGCGGAGGGTTGCAGGACCCTGCGAGATCCTGCAGGATCCTGCAGGCAAGCCCAGGTCGGTGCGCCCCTGGCCCTGCAGCAGCCTGCAACAACAAACAACAAACAACAAACAACAAACAACAAGCAACAAACAACAAACAACAAACAACAAACAACAAACAACAAACAACAAACAACAAACACCAAACAACAACAAACAACAAACAACAAACAACAAACAACAAACAACAAACAACACACAACAAACAACAAACAACAAACAACAAACAACAAACAGCAAACAGAAACCAGCAAACAGCAAACAGCAAACAGCAAACAACAAACAACAAACAACAAACAACAAACAGCAAACAGCAAACAACAAACAACAATCAACAAACAACAAACAACACACAACACACAACACACAACACACACAACACACAACACACAACACACAACACACAACACACAACACACAACACACAACACACAACACACAACACACAACACACAACACACAACAAACAACAAACAACAAACAACAAACAACAAACAACAAACAACAAACAACAAACAACAAACAACACACAACAAACAACAAACAACAACCAACAACCAACACACAGCAAACAACAAACAACAAACAACAAACAACAAACAACAAACAACAAACAACACACAACAACCAACAACCAAAAACCAACAACCAACAACCAACAACCAACAACCAACAACCAACAACCCACAACCAACAACCAACAAGCAACAAGCAACAAGCAACAAGCAACAATCAACAAGCAACAAACAACAAACAAAAAAACAACCAACAGCAAACACCACACAACAAACAGCAAACAACAAACAACACACAACAAACAACAAACAACAAACAACACACAACACACAACACACAACACACAACAAACACCAAACAACAAACAACAAACACCAAACAACAAACAACACACAACAACAAACAACAAACAACAAAAAAACAAACAACAGCAAACAGCAAACAGCAAACAACAAACAACAAACAACAAACAACAAACAACAAACAACAAACAACAAACAACCAACAACAATCAACAACCAACAACCAACAACTAACAACCAACAACCAACAACCAACAACCAACAACCAACAACAAACAACCAACAACCAACAACCAACAAACAACAAGCAACAAACACCAAACAACAAACAACAAACAACAAACAACAAACAACAAACAACAAACAACAAACAACAAACAACAAACAACAAACAGCAAACAGCAAACATCAAACAACAAACAACAAACAACAAACAACAAACAACAAACAACAAACAACAAACAACAAACAACAAACAACAAACAACAAGCAACAAGCAACAATCAACAATCAACAATCAAGAAGCAACAAGCAACAAGCAACAAGCAACAAGCAACAAGCAACAAGCAACAAACAACAAACAACAAACAACTAACAACAAACAACAAGGAGCATTGCACATAGCATGTATTCGTAGCAGAAACGCCAGGCGATCCAGGCGCATCCGAAGATACAAATCAGCACAACTTTGTATCATAATTCTGTTGCGTGCCTCTCCGTATTAGCCGTTTTTGGCCCTGGGTGCTCACAGGCCCCAAGACCGGCGCCCCGAAGAGGCGCCCCCGCAGGTAGTTCCGCGGGCAGGGCGTGCAATTCAGCCTAGACGTTGCATTGGGAAAACCAGAGGGATACCGCATTCTTCCAAGTCAGTGCATTGCGGCTGTTGCGCACGTGTGCGGGCATTGCGACAGGAAGCGAAGGTAGGAATGTTCTTGACGATCTAATGGATGATTCTTTAGATGAATTGGAGCCGCGTGCAAAGACTCCAAGAACAGACATGCACAATCCTATTATCCACAGAGTGAAGCCGAAACTTCCTGAACCAATTAGGCAAGATGTCCACAGAATTGCGAAACGCTTTGGGGAACAAATTGAGAAGCGCCTTCGACTCGAGCGGAAGATCGAGAAGATAGAAGAAAACCTCAAGATCATCGAGGGTGGCGGCTGGCCTGCCTGCACGAAGCCCTTGAAGATTCTTGTCGATGTCCCGACCCTCGATGAGGTATCCGACGAAACGAAGCTAACGGAATGGAACTTGATGCATCTTCAGGGTAAAACGTGGCGTGATACCAAATTGTATTTGCACACGCAGTTTATCAAGCTCAACAAGTGCGTGGATTTGGAGATGATGCGGCACCAGGAAGCAGCCATCACGAGCATTGTGAATTACGACTCGTTCATCTCTGACGTCACCGCCACCGCGAAGACACACCAAACCAAATTAGATCGGTTGAAAGTTGGAGTACCTCCTGGATTGTTCGATTCTTCCAGTATCACCGAGACGGAGGCCACTGACATATTCAAAGACATCCTCGAAAACATAGCAGAACGTGTAGACCGCGAAATTCAAGCACAGAAGAAACAAAAGCAGACAAGACAAAAAGCCGTGGAGAAACTGTCTACCGCCCAGCCAGGTGACATCTTCAAGCGGGCGGTGGCCCAGGCAGTAAAAGAGATGGGAGGCCATGTGAACGTACCGTTGGACAAAGTCGTGAACTACGTCGGCAAGATTACTGGCGACCCTGACGGCGAATACGTCAGAGGGGCGACTGGCAGCGACGCGTACACATTCACACACAAAGGTAAAGGCAAAGGCAAAGAAGGCAAAGGTAAAAACAACGGAAAAGGCAAAGGAGAACCCAAGGGGAAAGGGAAAGGCAAGGGCAAAGGACATGGGAAGAGCAAACCTCACGACGCGGAGGACGGCTCGAAGCGCCGTCGCAGAACGAAATCACAATTGAATTGGTGGAAGGCGGCAAAGTACGAGTTCAGAGAGATTCCAAAAAACGGTGCGTCCACCGGG